TAGATAGATAGATAGATAGATAGATAGATAGATAGATAGATAGATAGATAGATAGATAGATAGATAGATAGATAGATAATGGATGGATGATAGATGAAATTGACTACTAATAAAAGCAACACACCAACATATAAAGGTAGGGAATAATTAAAAATAGATTCTGTGATCTAAAGCTTTATGATCCATGAATGTGTTAGGCATGATGCCATGAACTTCCCTGTGGCTATAAATAGTATATCTCAGTATTTTCCTCAAATGCAATTTATCTAGATATGCCATATTTCAGGCTGCATTAAGGCCAATTGAAGCCCTAAACACAGCCCCACAGTGGTGCCCCCTGCCCCTTCCATTGCTTAACCAACAAGTCCTTACGATTCAGTAAGATGAAAATTAAAATCGAGTATAGCAAGGGAAGAGTTAAAGGTATGATAGCTAGGGGAAGAAATTCTGTGGGCTTCCCTTGGAGCCCTAAACACATGCTTCTTTTGCTTAATCCAAATAACCTGTTTTGCTGTCCTGTTTTGATTTTTTTAAAAGATACTGATATCAAGGGATTAAGGGGGAGAAACCATTTGGTACTTACTGCAGACCACATTTCTCCAGCCCCACAGCATGACTCCTTTGGAAGCACAGGCTCTTGCATAAGATGATAGGGCAGCACACAAACATTGTTCATTGGAGTTACAATTGCAGGTATCGTATTTACAGCGCTGAAAAAAAAAAACCAGTAATCAGGGAACAGTCAGCCCAGATTAATGAAGAGGAGTCAATGGGTGAAGAACTGGCACTTGAGAATCAGCAGAATGGAGCAATCTGTTCCGCAATTTGCAATGGAAGTGCAGTGACACAATAAGAGGAATGATCCAAATTGGGATGGAAGAACAATACACAGTGAGAAAGTCATATTAGGTTTGGCCTGTTTTCCCACTCAATCTGTTGTGCTGCATATGAGCTCGGACACCAGCTCCCGAAACGCCTGACTATGTTGGCTGCTTTAAGATTGGTAGACATCAATTCCCAGAATCCTAGGGGCTGAGACTGAGAAACACTGATCTAAAGAGTTTACACAAGGGCAGTCTGGTCTATATGAATTGTTCCTTTTCCCTTTCTTTCAAAATGTAAGTTGTACCAAAGTATTTCCAACCATTTTTTTTCTCATACTGGAGTGTGCTACTCCCTTTTTTAAATGTGTTTTTAAAAGCTGAAAATAGACTATGTTGCATCTCCCTGGGCAAATCACCCATTTGGCTAATGTTCCATCAATCAGGCTGGGGGGGCAAAATTTATNGTCAAGCAGAAGACCCTATATCATTGCAGACAAATGGTTGTCCAACATCTTCTTAAAACCTTCTGGTGTTGGAGCACCCACAATTTCTGAAGGCAAACTCTTCCACTGATTAATTGTTCTAACTGTCAGGAAATTTCTCCTTAGTTCTAAGTTGCTTCTCTCCTTAATTAGTTTCCATCCATTGCTTTCAGATGGTTTGGTTGACCCGTCACCCTTCTGGCATCCCTTAGATATGGCAACACTTCTATCATGTCACTCCTAGTCCTTCTTTTCATTAAACTCCCTCAATAACCCAATACTCAGATCTCCCTCAATATCTGCCATGTTCTTTTGATTAATATTTTGCTTTCTGTATTTTTTCCCAGTGGAGCAAAAACAAAGTTTTATCTTTGAGCATTTTAAAAACCTTGGAAGAGATACTCTCCTTAGGCCAGGAGCTTCACAAACTAGCCTGGAAATTCCCCATCCATTCCCCATATGTCAATAGTTGAAAAGTCCATGAGACCATTTTAGTTCAGTCACATTGTATTGCTACCTCCAGAGTGCAGGATGAGGTCCCACGCTTCTTAAGTAGCAGAGTTAATGCAATATACCCAGAAACTGACAGATTAAGGTGATGTTCAATGCTCATCACATCCTACTTATACTCCAAACATAAGAGTGTTCACTTCCCATTCATTTTTAAAGGACTATTCAAACACCCTTTTATCTCCACTAAACAGCCTGCTATGCATTTGAAGACATTTTATTTTTTGTTTCTACAGACCCCTGGGGGGAAGAAAGAAAGGAAAGGAAAGAAAAGGGAAAGACAAAAAGGGAGGAAGGCAAGTATTTGGGAGCACTGATATATAAAGATGCAAAAGCTTATATGCCAGTGAATGACTTCAAACTGACTCTGGCACATTCATCTTCCCAAGAAGAATTAAACTCAGTGTGATTTCATTTTAATAGCAGAAGAAGAAAAAATACTACTGTGCAGGACTAAGTTCCTAACCTTTGATGGTGGAATAGAAAAGGGGGAGGGAAATCACTTTCTTCACCCATGTGGTTTACGTCTGCGTATCCATCTGTTATGTCCGGCTCATCAATTAAGGTGACCCCCCCCCTAAGTTGAGACGGTGGTTTAATAAAGACAGTAATCTATTCAAATGCGGGAAACCATTTGCAGCTTTATTTTAACTTACAACATGGGCCTCCATCTTAGGTGCTCAGTGTGGTTTTTTTCCCCCTCAAGGTAGGACTGAAGTTGCGTCTCATGTGGAAAATAATAAATGCAATGGGGAGATGGATGAGGGAGGAAGTGCCCAAGGCCGCCTTGGGAATCACACAAAGTGACATGCATCTGAGTCAAACAAATGGTCTAGATTGGCACTGTCAAGGCTGACCACCCAGGGATAGTGACCTTAAGTGACAGATGGCAAATGCATGGCCAAAGTCGTGTTGGAGCGCCAGCTGACGGGCCCAGACGAGCCACAAAATTATCAGCAAGGGAACAGGGTTTAGGCTGAAAGGGCTAACAATGGCTGGGAGGCTAGCTTCACAGTCCTGCTTCAGGCCCAGTGTTCAAGTAAATGACTGGTGTAGGCACCCCGGGACATCCTCTCCCCTGCATTGTGTGCTGGGGGGGGACGGACACAGTAGCAGACTGTCCTTCTCAACTTAGGAACCAAACAAGTTCCATTTATCAAGTCAGACACCAGCCCTGCAGTGTTTCACAGGCTCCATTTATCCTGAATGAAGAAATGACATATAATCCCATAGGCCACATCAGTTCCCCACCAGCATCCTATTTATAGTTCTTCAAGGACCCCAAGTTTATAGAGCTGAACTGAGGGGAGGGGGTATTTGGTAATTTGCTTTGGGGAGACTTGGTTTGTTTTAAGGGTGGAATGGGGACACAAGGCAGAGTATCCTGGCTTGCTGGGCTAAACTTTTTATTATGCGCAACATATGCTTATCAAGGCTTCCTATAGTAAGGTGACTAGACGTCCCGCTTTTGGCGGGACAGTCATGATTTTCCACAATTTGTCCCGTGTCACGCGTCCTTATTAAAAAGTCCCGATTTTTCATTTTTAATTTTGGCACGTTGCAGCTCGCTCGCTCGCTCCCCCATTTTTAGCGCATTGCAGCTCGCTTGCTCCCCCGCCCATCCGCACTAAGCCAGCCCAGCCTGCCACTCACTGATTGGCTGGAGTCCAGCCAATCAATGAGCGGGCTGGGGGTGGAAGAGTTTAAGTTTAAAAGCTTCACGCTGCTTGAGTCTGACCTCCATTTCGCCTTCGCCTTCTTGCTGCTTCAGGTAAGCAACTCCGGCAGCGGGACTCAGGAGGCTTCCGGTGGGTGGTGACAGCCTAGCTTTCGCAAGGAAAGGCGTTCCCTTGCTAAGGCCTTCCCTTGCGAGGCCGCGGGCTGACAGTAACCTTCACGGCCTAGCTTTCGCAAGAGAAGGCCTTCCCTTGCTAAGGCCTTCCCTTGCAAAGGCCTTCCCTTGTGAAGGTCTTCCCTTGCGAAGGCCTTCCCTAGCGAGGCTGCGGGTTGGCAGTAACCGCCGCAGCCTAGCTTTCGCAAGGGAAGGCCTTCCCTTGCGAAGGCCTTCCCTAGCGAAGTCCTGGGCTGGCAGTAAGCGCCGCGGCCTAGCTTTCCTGCCCGCCCCCCCTCTTCAGACCTGCTTAGTGACCCTGTTGTCCCTCCACAGTCCAGTCCAGTATCTTACCTGTTCCTGCTGCCTCTCTGCCTGCCTGCTCCCTGTTGCTTCCATCCATCGTTGTGAGGATCCATTGCATCGGAGTTCTGCTGATTCTGCCTGCTGGTAAGTTTTTTTCTTTTATTTTTTTAATGTATTTTAAAATAATATTTTATTTATTGTGCATAGGATTTTTTAAAATAGTTTTATTCTGTGTGGATTCTTTTTTTAAAATTGTCTTAGACTATTTAAAAAAAGATTCTATCCAAAATAAATTAAAATAAACCATTTTTAAAAATTTTATATTGTGCAAAGAATTTTTTAAAATGTTTTATTTCAATTTATTTTGGATAGAATCTTTTTAAATAGTCTAAGACAATTTTAAAAAAGAATCCACAGAATAAATTGAAGTGAAACATTTCTAACTATTCCACACAGAATAAATTGAAGTAAAACTATTTTAAAAAATTCTATGCACAATACATTTCAAAGTATTGAGTATAATATAGAATTTTTAAAAATAGTTTTATTTCAATTTATTCTGTGTGGAATAGTTTGAAGTGGTTACAGTGTAAATTATTGCTGGTGTAATACTTAACAATGGTTTTTTAAGGATTTCTTTTATTTATAGAATATATTTTTTAATTATTTTGGGGGGGATTTTATTTTTTAATTGTTTATAAAATATATTTACTACTAGAAATTTTCCTTTTTGCAAATGTTTTCTTTGTGATGCAATATGTTCAGACCAGGTTTATGTGCCTCAAAGTGGCTACTATTCTATGGGCAGGCCAGGTTGGTGCAAGGCAACTTTGCCAGATTTAGTGTGTTTCACCCTCGTTGAATTTTATATCGTATAAAATCGTATAATTTTAATTTTTTTAGATTATTAACATAATGACTAAGACAAGAGCATGCAAATTCAGCAATGATCTAAGAAGTGAGTTTCCTTTTCTTAAAAAAATTTTTTGTTGCTCCATATAAATTTTTTAATCAAGCCCCCCCCCCGGTCAATGGTGTCCCTCTTTACCAATCTGAAAATTTGGTCACCTTATCATATAGTCCAAAGTCCTGCTTCCAGAATCAGAGCCAATTTGTGCAAAATTAGCTAATCAAATGGTTTAAAAAATAGCAAATCCAATCAATATACCTGATCATTCTCTTCAGATCTAGAATATAGAGGTTGCATGGAGCTTTAGACCTAATGTTTCCTGGGAATACTTCAATTCTTAACTATTCCAAGATGTTTAAGAATAGAGGTTGATTTAAATATCTTAAAAGACTTACTTTAAGATATTTAAATCAATCGCTATTTTTAAACATCTTGGGTTTCAAGCTTAAATGCATGAGCCGGCAAAATGATCTGTTTCTCCATGATTTCAGTCACATTAAGGCACTTGTACATTTATTTTCACCCTGATAACTGCTTCCAGCTGTCCATAAAAGTTAATACATTCATTTGCAGTTTATATACCTTCACAGAATTTCATTTGTGTTGACTTTGGAGTTTCTAAAAAAAATCTCTTTAGAATCTGAAGTGAGCCTAACTCTACCGCCCCACCAACCCACCCCGCTCACACACCAAGTAGAAACCAGAACGAATAGGTTTTATTAATTTGAAAAATATAAAAATTTTAATAAAGGCTACATCTCTTAATTACAATAATTATTGTACCAAGTATTTTTTTCTTTAAATGAAACTCTTTATAATGCATAATTTACAGTTTAAGTAAAACAAACATGGCAAAAGTCATAAAGTACAAGAGCTGTAGTAAAAAGGCATAAAATATACTATACATAAATCCCTTAAACAACAAAGGGAGAGTATGGACCCTGAACACAGGGCAAAACACGGCATATTAATACCATGCAGGCACAGGTACTGTACTGATTGAAGTGTGGTTTTTTTCCCCTTAAAAACACACA